GCCGATGCAAGGCGTATACACACGTTTTTATACATTATAGGCAACGTCCTACTTACGAATCTCATATATATTGTACACCCCCATGCCCAGCGGGAGTAATACACACGTTATTCACTACATTATAACCATATTCTACTACATTACACAGGCGATGAAATTGGCCAAAATGTGAACAGGCCCACGCAAATTTTAAACAGGCCCCTTAACAAAACTGAACAGGCCCTTGTACAATATTGATTTGTTAAAAGTTTATTGTGATAGCAGATCGTATCTTGTAATTACCCGTATTGCCACCCCTATTGCCTCCAACCACCATTCGATGCTGCCGTGACAATCCGACACAGGGACGATAATGCTAAACGACTGTACGCATGACGAGCGGGCTTTGCAGTAGGGGTTAAGGCATTCACAAGCCTTCTCGTGTATTTTCCTGGCTCCACGCTTGGCATGATCATCCGAAGAAACAAGTGGCGCAGCTTCCTGAAACATTAATGTACGCGATGATGAGTGGCGACGAGACGGTCTGAAGCAGTAGACAGCCTGGTGACGAGCGATCGCGGTTCGTGGGTCACGAGGGTCGGGCGAATAGCGTACTATACTCAATACGCACGCGATTTCAAGTTTTTCAATAATTAATAATGCAAATGTATGCAGGCTGATAGAATCGTGATGGTGGTGTATTACTTGCTTACTTGTACCGATGGTAAATCTTGGCTGTGTATTTGACTGCTATACTGTGTACAGATGGTAGAATCTTGTGCATGTGATTGACTGCTGTACTTTGTACAGATGGCATGACTTGTGCAATGTGTGAATTGACTCCCGCTTACTTGTACAGATGAGTAGATCTTGTGTGCATGTTATTGGACTGTCTTACTTGTACAGATTTGTAGATATCTTGTGCAATGTGTATTGGACTGGCTTACTTGTACAGAGGTGATATTTCTTGCTGCATGTGGTATTGGACTGACATACTTGTAGAGCGTGGATAATATCTTTGCGCATGTGTATGACTGCTTTACTTGTAGAGGTGGTATACACGCAGTGTGTTATTGACTGCTTACTTGTACAGATGGTAGATTTGTGCGTGTGTATTGACTGTTACCTTGTACATGATGGTATGATCTGTGCATGTGTATTGAGCTGCTTGACTTGTTACAGATGGGTATATCTTGCTGCATCGGTGTATTGGCGCTTACTTGTACTAGATGTTTAGATTCTTGATGGCAATGTGTATTGACTGCTTACTTGTACAGATGGTAGATACTTGTGATGGTATTGACTGCTTACTTGTACAGTATGTGTATATCTTGTTGCATGATGTATTGACTGGCACTACTCTGTAGAGCGGATGAATCTTGTGCATGTGTATTGCACTGGTTATCTTGTACGATGGTAGATCTGTGCATAGTGTAATTGACTGCCTTATTTTGGTAGAGATGGTTAGATTCTTGGTGCATGGTTGATTGGACTGCTTACTTGTTAGAGGTGGTAGATTTGGAGGATGTAGGCGTGTGTACATGACCCTCCGCACCATGGCCGGTTCGACGGTGACGCCATGAGCTGCTAAATCGGACTCGTTCATCTGACCACCTCTATTGCCCTCGCCCCCCGCGTCTCTCAGCTTGCTAGCTTTTCGCCGTACTCCTAATACTGCGCCAGCCGATACTGTACGAAATAAGAGAGGGTAGAGTAACAATCATGCGGAGTGGGTGAGAGTAGCAGGGACGGATTTGGCTATCGACGCGCATTTCATATCAGCCGCTTAATTTTTGTTTTGTGACCCGGTATAATCATAGCTTGGTATGCAGGACGGCCCAATATTAGGATTGCTGAACTTAGTATAACGCTAAGTACAATATGGGGTTTTGTTCTAGAAATCCATTAGGAATCACGGCAATGCACTCTGGCATGACGGGAGTTGGTGTAAGTTGCTATAGAGTCTTACCTCATTCGACGGAAAAATGGAGAAGAGCGAATGCTGGCTGAAAGAACAACCAAAGTAACATTGTTCAGCTCTTTGTCATTGTTCAAATCATGTCTGTATTATAATTTATTTGCCATAAATGTCACTTAAGCAATGAGAGGTGGAAGATGGTACACTTCAAATGTATGCTATTATGAGAACATGCATCGCATGAATGACAGGAAGAGTGACTAACAGGGGTTCATTTGATTTTGTAGTTTTGCTGAAATTTCGGGACTCTTAAAGGAGTATGAAGAAGTGCATGGTCCCAATAAAACCCATGTGCCTAACCCTAACTCAACAACCTTAATTATCCTAAACCATTAACCCTGCCGCTATGATATGTATATTTGATGTATAATATGTATTTATATTGATGTAAATAACATTGGTTTTTATTGGTACCATGCTTCTCTATCTTGAACCGAAAATGTCCATTTCAGTGGGTCACTTGTCAGTGTCGCTCATAGGGTCTATGTCCCCCAGAGGTACTGGCCGGAGGTACCCTGGTCACTATTTTGATATGGTTGAGCGGTTAGGGTTAGGATTGAGTTAGAGAGTTAGGCCGACTCCTCTAGACTGCGTTAGTGTTGAGTAGGCGATAGTACGGTACAGGAATAATTAGATAGTACCAAGGCGTACGTTCGGCAGTACCCCCGGGGACATAGCCGACGGCAGTACCCGCCGGGACAATAGACCCTCTCAGCGGTCAGTGTGAACCGCTAAGTGAGCGTCAACGTAGTAAAACCATAAGCCTAGGCATAGCATAGTG